TCTTGAGAGAGAGACAGAGGGAGAGAAATGGAGAATGAGATGGAGCTTCATGGGTCAATTACTTCTTTATTCACACAGACAACTACTTCTGGCAATTAAAAATTAGGGCAAATACCAACGGTGTAGTTTGACAAATTAATTATTGGCGACTAAATTAATTAGGTCGCCATAAATGTCATTTACATTTTTCGTGACCAAGCAATGGGTGTCGCCAAAAACAATACATTTGGCAACTAAATGTTTTGTCGCCATATATTAGTTTGGTCACAGAAACTTTTTCCTTGCTCCCGCGCATAAATTTCACTTCCCGCCAAACTCAATAGCGACCAAATATTTAGTTCGTCGCCAATAGTTTAGTTTTTTGCGACCAAAACATATATGGTCGCCAATTATGTACATTTGGCAACCAATTTCTATTTTAGTTGCCAAAAAGCGTCGCCAAAAATGTTTTTTGTTGTAGTGTGCATTATTATTGTTTCAAGTTGTTAATTTCCTGTAGCTGGCGTTCTCATTTGGCTTATAAATAGCCTGGGAACTGTGGAATAAAGATATAGAGAATTATTATCCCAAAACTCTTTCATTTTCTTAGTCTCTGTTCTTCTTCTTCTTGGTCATTCACTTGCTGTTCATATACAAATTACTCATCATGCGTGCACAAAATTTATTCACATAATTAGACATAAGATTCTCACATGAGATGGGAACCACACATTTTAATCAATCCCATCTTATGTTAAAGAGTTATATCTATTTCTATAATCAAATTTTATACACTTGAAAATTTTCATATATCTATACTATTATATAAAGCCAACTAGAATGTTGGTGTGGATGTCACATATTTTTTTTATTCTTAAACTACCCTTTTTTGTAATTGTCAAATCCTATAACTATCTAATTCAAATAAGCATATAAATCTCTGTAACTGCAAATTTAAACACATTTATGTTGGTGTGCTTGACTTCTAATACATATATGTGTGTGCGCGGAAAGAAACTCTCCCATCATGACAAGCTCAGAAAAATGTTGGCGCTCAATTTAGGCTAACTTGAGTAATGTCAATTGGTAATTGGAGAACTTTGCATATGGTAGTATTTCTGGTTTCTCAAATGTGAATTTTGATTAATTGTTGGATAGACACATTTTTGCACAAGAAGTTTAACTTCGTTGCAGTCAATTTTGTTTAGTAATATCCTGTTGGCAACACCACTATATTGGTTGTGAAGAGCTTTGTCAAACTTATTTTATATTTATGGTTATATGTCACTAAATTGTTTTTACTGTATATGCTAACAAGTAATCATAACCATTGTTTTATGTTGGAATTTCGTAAAAAAACATTTTGAATATGACTAAACAGGCTCTTTTAAAAAAATTTCAACTACCAGCTTTTTCCATTGAAATGCCACTAATGCTGGTGCACTACCAATATGCACTACTACAAAAACAGATAAAGATCACACTTTTTTTGTGTGATGTATGTTATTTAATCACACCTTTTAAGTTTTATTAAAGTGTGATCTTTGGAAGTGTGATTAAAACGGGTCATTTTTAATCACACTTTTTAAGTGTGCTTAATAACATTTAGATCACACCTTTTAAGTGTGATTAAAAATATTTAGATCGCACCTTTTAAGTGTGATCTTTGGAAGTGTGATTAAAAAGGGTCATTTTTAATCACACTTTTTAAGTGTGATTAATAACATTTAGATCACACCTTTTAAGTGTGATTAATAACATTTAGATTACATCTTTTTAAGTGTGATTAATAACATTTAGATTACATCTTTTTAAGTGTGATTAATAACATTTAGATCACATTTTTTAAGTGTGATTAATAACTAATAAAATCTGTGATAAAAAAAGGATTCGACATATTTGAAAAATAATCAATATTATTTTTGTATGCACATTTGAAGAATGTAATACACACTATATACTATATTTTGAATCATAACCACATATTGAATAGAATAACGTCATATATTTCATAAATGGAAATTAAATATTCAAAAGTGTATACAAAAGAATTAAATAAAAAAAAATTAATTGTGCTTACATATATTAAAAAATGAAAAAACTTTAAAAACTAGGTTCTTTAATTCTTGGACCATATTTTGCATCTCTCCAAAAAATTTCTGACCTGAAAAATGAAAACACAAATTAATTCAAAAACCGCTGATGCATATGAATAAACTAAAAAGTTAATTCAGCAAACCAAAATAGGAACATTAATCATTTCTGCTTGATCTTAATACTTTTGAGTAACTTCCCTGTTAACAATTAGATGCCATAGCAGCTCAGTGTCAATGACATTGTAATTAGGAGGTCACTAATGAGCACAGTATTTAAAAATGATAAATCTCAATATAGTTTGGGTACGATCTTTTTGTGAATGTATATTATTATTACTGTTGAACCATAATTCTAGGTACCCATAAATAAATAAATAAAAACTTAAGAATTTACTCCATTTTTTTTGGGTAGGGGGGGAGTACATACATTGCAGTCTGCATTTTCTTTTGCACCTTTGGAAGAAAAAGAAGAGAAAACAACTACCCATTTCATGCATTCCTGTCTACCAAAGAATAAGTGCAAACGCTAATAGCTGCCATAAGCGTATGAAAAATCATAAAGAAAATACATTATTATCACAAAAATAATTACTACTATTAGAAATTAAAAGGCATACTGTTGATCCTACGTCAGCTTAAACAGCTACTAATGCTTCAGTTTTCCATAGTTCAGAATATATGTTGACCATAACAAAGTTGGTTTTAGCATTATAACTATATTTTAATCTCTTTTTTTCTTTGGTTGAGATCATTGGAAGTGAACACAGTTTCTCCCCATCACAAGCTTCGCATCAAACCTAACTGGGAGTGTTTCCCTTGCTTCCTTCTACAAGGAACATAAAAATTCGGGTGCAAAATTGTGCTCAGAGTCTCAGATCAAGTATTATTCAATCATTTCCCCCTTCCTAATGCCAATATGCGTAGTTAAATACAACACAATTTTTTCAACTTTATCCCACTTTAGAGGATAAAAGTCTCATCTATATGATAAATACCCATTGAAACTTAAACTGCCTATCACAAAGATGGAAGTAATTTACCAATACAACAATACACATATTCTCATCAACGTCACGCTATTGGGTGATGAAAGGTTGGCGTGTTAGGAAAGATGAAAGGGTTCTATGTCATTGCACAACAGTTTTTTGCATTCAAGAATAGGAAAAGTACCTCAGTTCCAAGCCGCTTATTTAGAGCTTCATTCCACATATTTGCAGCATATGCGGGCTGCACTCTAGTCCACATAGACATGACAGAAATGACCTGTGAACAGAGTCTGCCAGTTAGAAATTTAGCAAAGTTCTCAACATCCTCGCATTTATTCACATGTAATGCAAATGAATGATGGTATCAAGTAGATAGAATTTTTTCGCCGGCAAAAATGAAACAGTAAACATGACTGTCAAAGCACAAAAGAATAAAACAGGAACGAAAAAAGTGACTCCTAAAATTAATAATTCAGGCAAACTATGCACAGTACAAGTCGCTGCTCATCCATTTGTTATTACTGTAGCCAAAAGAATTTCACTCAAAATAGTGAGGATTTATAAACCCCATTGTTTACATTTATATGCATGTGCACTTTCAACACACTATCCACATGTTACCTATGTAATGAAACTATTATAATTCCAAAGCAATGACCATAATAGAACCATATCACCAAATCCAATCAAACCAGAAGGCTTCTGAACCAAGAAAACCTACTAAAATAGTCAAGAAATGCACAGTATTTAGTAGCATAGCATATGCATCATGGAAAGCCAAGTTTAAACTTTAATACAATATATTAGAAAAATATCAAACTTAAGCATACCAAGTGAGCATCAAGAGGTGGTGGATAGTTGTCAGCAATGGTATCAATCCAACTAAAAATCATGTTGTGATAACCATATGGCTTCCCTGCCATGCTCCAAGCATATTCCCATGCTGCAGTCGAATTAAATTTAGCACGCACATCTGGATGTAAGGGCAGCAACACTACCTATGGATTGGATTCATCCTTAGGAGACAATTCCCACCATTCATTCCATGGAATTACCATAATAATTTCTTCACCCTGAAACACAACCAAGACAATATAAGCGTAAAATCTAAGAACATGTTCACATAAATATGGTATAAAGACAATATGATGTTCACACTGCTAAATATGACGGCCAAAAAAAAAAAAGGAATCCACCAATAAACTCAATCCAAGAATTATTCAAATATTTCCATGTCTATAAAACCAAAAAGGAAAGTTCATTCCAGAAACCAAAATTTGAAAACCTACCTATCTTTTCAAATTTGTATTTTCCAACGCCCCTCACACGTGTTTGCATACATGATATAAGCACTACAATTCTACAGTTCAATTGTTTTAAACTAAAATTCTTCCCTTGCCAATTCCAGCTTTCTAGGTTTATGAATTCATGCCAATAAGCACACAAATCTAACATGGCTCTAAAGTATAACGTACTAGGTAATTATATGTCTATGGCCATGTTAGGAGTTGGTATTGTGCATGCTTGTCCATGATTTAGGAGCAGTCCTCTGCTTACCTTTTCATTCTCATGTCCAGATTCACTAACCCAAAGATTACCAAATTCATCCTTCAAACAAACTGCTGTATGACCAGCAAATGCATCCGTTACCCACTTTTCCAATGTTTCAAATCCACCCCACCTACCACGAATCTTTGATAATGCTAAGAAATCACTAGAATGGACATCATCTGGATTGATAGTTGCACGCCATGGCCAAGAACGTTTTTCAAATGCCGTACCCATGTGTTTCTTCAAAAATTCTAAGTTAGCATTCTGACCCCAAACAGTGTTAGAGAATAGGAGAAGGACGTCTGCTAAGGATAGCAAGGTCCCCAGCATTCCTAATGGCATAAGAAATACAGAGATTCCATGCTGCTTTGCCTGCTCAATGATCAGTCAGATAGTCAACCTTTTATAACAGATTTCTATAGAAGAATAAAAAGAAAAAGGATGAACACAATAATACATATTCCAGCTCTGCTTCTTTCTCCCAAGATTCAAATTTCAAAGTATGGTCTCGGGCAGAGAAATAATAATCCCAGGTAATCCTATAAGGTGTTGCAAAAACATACAGATCCATACAGGTCCAGCTGTGAGCTGCAGAAGTCTATGGAAAGAAAAAGAAAGTTAAGAAAACGAACATAGACAGAGTAGCATGACAAGCAAGAAAATTAGACTGTTCTAGACGCAGCCAATTGGCTGTGGATATAGGCTCACACTTGAATATCAAATTTTAATTTCAAAATGGTTAGGCCAGATACATTAACATGGTCACGTGTTTGTAAAGACACTTGTCGGACACACATCCAAGTCCTATTATTCTTTTAATTATTTTAGACCTGCACACTCTCGCAACACTTGAGGAATAAGCGTGTTCATTGCTTGGACACATGAACAAATTAACTTAGTATACAATGATACAAGAAAACAATATACATTTATAACTATTAACAACCCCCCCCACCCAAAACTCCTTTAACTTCATAAATTAATTTTGCACCTTTAACTTCATAAATTAATTTCGTGTTGCATTTTTTTATTATCTTCGAATATAATATTTATATTCATGACATATAACAAATATATAAAACTGTTTATTTTGTGCATAACACCCATGTGTATCCTGCATTTTTTTTAAAAAAAAATTATTGTGTTGTCCACGCTTCTTAGCCAAACATTTTTCATGAGGCAGGCAAGTAAAGGAATATTGCAATGCCTAATAGCTAACATAGATGAAATTTGCACCTCAAAACAGTTAACCCAGTCTCATTCACCAGATGGCTTCTATTATGAAGTTATCAGTCAAAGAACTCACATCAATCGCTACTTACATTCACTGAAATCAACCTCAAAATTCTGTTCTACCATTTATACTCTTCAAAAGCTCTCCAACACAATCCAAACCCAAAATGACATTGCCTATGGAGCAATTGTAAACATAATCATTACTAGTTACTCTAGTTCAACAATTCTCACAATTCAAATCAAATCAATCATACACATGTATACAAGTGATAAAAAGAGCGAACCTTGAGGTGAAGAACACCGCCGCCCAAACCCCGATCACTGCCGGTGAACTCAAGCCGAGCTTCGTTATCGAAAAAGCAAGCCCCTTTGCACTCAATCGACCCCTTGGTAAGGGAGACCGATCCGACGAACGACGGCAACAAGTCAACGGCGCTGTGGAGATTGTTGAGCACAGGCCACGAAATCTGCCGAGGAAGAACTGGAAGGACATCGTTGACTCTGAAGGGTACCTTCAGAGATTCCCCAAAATTCATACCAAACCCTATTTTTTTTAACCCCAGAATTTCATTCAAAGACAGAAGAGAATGTTACTTAGATAGAACAGAGAGAGAGAGAGACTGCGAGCTATGCAATGGCGAACGGCTAGAGCTCGTTTGCCTTTTCGGCTGCTCCTCCGCCGCTCGCCGTCGATCGAGAGAGAGGAGGGGTCAAGAAGAGATTAGGGATTTTTGGGTTTGAGATTGGGGATTTTTTGTTTTTTGGGGGGGGAGCGGGAATAAAAGGGCAGGAATAAAAAATAAAAAATAAATTTTTTTTTTTTTGTCAGAAATGAAATTTAAATAACAAAATAATGTCGTTTAACTTTTTTTTCTTTTTTTTTTTGCAACAGGGGTTGCCGTCGTCAAAAAAAATTATTTTTTGTTAAAATATATTTTTTTTTGTAGTTAATGAATTTTTTTAAAAAAAAATTCTTTTTTCTTTCACACCCTCCCCCACTGCTTAAACCAAGTGGGATGGTTCTCTTTATGGCCGAACTTCCATTTGACCGAAGTAAAAATGGCTATGCTGAGCCACAAAGTAGGCCGTACTAACAGTTGTTCGGTTCTTCTTCATGCTACACCATATCTCGGTTCTCTCATACATGAACCGTGGTGTGTTCGGACCGAACCAACGACTCGACCGGTGTAACTCTCAAACCGGTATACCTCTAAGGTCGGTATAACTTCAAGGCCGGTCTAACTTCAAGTTTCTCCCAGACCGAAGTTCATTTACAATCTTCTAACCGAAGTAACTTTATCCTTCGTGAGCCGAAGTAATTTCACCTCCTTGGGCCGAAGTAACTTTGTCTTCCCAAGGCCGGAGTAACTTTGCCCTTCTGGGCCGGAGTATCTATTTCGGCCTTCTTACTTAGTCCTTCGCGTTTTGGGCCTCAATGCCCAACTCGCAACTCGGCCCAATTTTTCCCAAAAATTACCCTCTCACATACCAAATAATAATGGGTCACAGATCTCCACACCACAGCCTCAGGAGGAAGTTACTTCCAGTGAAACAACAGAAAACTGTCCAAACAGAGACTTCTTTGGATTTTTAAGGTGAAGAAGCAGAGGCTCATGAGTACTACTGTACTCTCCCACCATTTAACACTTTGTCCTTTCTTTTTCACCCTCCGTTTTAGTAGCTTAGGAAAAGTCCGATGGTCAACATCAACCCACCCCGTTTGTTTTGGGAGATAGAATGGAGAGGATTGATAGTGAGGAGATTGATAGTGAGGGGATTAATAATGAGGAATTGTTAAATTATTTTTATATAAAATAATAATAAAAAATATAAAAATATAAAAAATTAAACATTATATTTAAAAAAAAATTCCCAATATATAAAAAATAAAAAAATTTATAATCTTCTCACTATTTTCTAATACCATCTCTACCTCCTCCTTACCAATCCTCATTCCAAGGGTATTAGTAATACCAAAGGACTAATAGTCCCAAGACTATCTCTGCAAACAAACAAGGGCATTAGTAATACCTTGGTATTACTAGTCCCAATACCCTCCCTATAGAATAAAACAAACGGGGCCTATAGGCTGGGCTTCACTCCAGTGGACTAGTGGACTGTAGGGTGCGATGCAGACATGTTATTATGAATCCTGTTTTGATATTCAAATCGTTTAATTTATAAATCTTTTATATATATTATTTATATAAAAAATTAAGTTGATTTGATAATCGTAACCTATTTAATTTATTATATCTATAACTAAAAAAAATTAATGGTTTATTTTCAAAAACAAGCCTATCATCCACTTGCGCAGCAACAAATGAGATTAATATGAACACAACTTTCCTATTTCCCTTATCTCTACAAATTCCTACCTAAAAGTATGATTTAAACATAGATAGAATGCAGTGTTGATGGCATTTATACACTTCTTGGGCAAAAATATATGTATCTTTTATTATCAAATAAATAATATTCATACTTTTTTAGCCTTTCACTTTCTTTCTGTTGGAAATAAAATAACCAAAAAAAAAAAAGAGCATCAGAGAGTAAAAAGGAGTGTGAATATTATTTCTTTATTAACAACTCAATAATAAAGAATACAGGCAACTATATATTAAATGAATTATATGGGTCTTGAAATTTTTTGTCATTTAATGGCATATCAATCCTCACATATAGAGAAGTATATAATTAGTTGGCCTCAAGTGTGAGTAATGAGTCCATTAAGGTCTAATAAAATGAGAAGCATATATATATAACATATCCTAGTATATAGTGCTGTGTATTTCGAAATTAATAGCTTCTAGATTGGGTTTGAAATAGTAGGCTATCTAACCACATTTTTGGACGTGTAAAGTTGAGGCAATTAATAAACCACGTTTAGAGCTTCTCTTCTAACGCACACACAGACAGAGAGACACAGAGATGTCGAAACAGCGCCTTTAAAATGTACCTATTTTGTATGTACATTCACATGGCCTCTTTAACTTCATCTAGAATTTCCTCAGTCTGCCTCGAGTCTCACAAATTCAAAGAGGACAGGGAAATGGTTAGGAATAATGTTAATCAAAATTTTTATCAAATGTCTTACATGGGCGTAGAACTCATCATGTGGGTCTCATACACATGTGAGATATTTGATAAAAATTTTAATAGAACTTTTGAAATCTTTAACATTTTTGAATAGTTAGAGGTTACTCATCATCATTATCAGAATCCTTATGTTTCCCCAAAATATATATAGAGAGAGAGAGAGAGTTGTTTTACGTGCACAAAATTTATTCACATAATTAGACATAACCTTCTCACATGATGTGTGAACCACACATTTTAATCAATCCCACCTTATGTGAGAGAGTTATATCTAATTCTATAATTAAATTTTGTACACTTAAAAATTTTCACATATCTATATTATTATATAAAGCCAACTAGTATGTTGGTGTGGATGTCACAGATTTTTTTTTCTTCTTAAACTACCTTTTTTGTAATTGTCAAATCCTATAACTATCTAATTCAAATAAGCCTGTAAATATCTGTAACTGCAAATTTAAACACATTTATGTTGGTGTGCTCAACTTCTAATACATATATGTGTGTGTGGAAAGAACCTCTCCCATCATGACAAGCTCTAAAAAATGTTGGTGCTCAATTTAGGCTAACTTGAGTAATGTCAATTGGTAATTGGAGAACTTTGCATATGGTAGCATTTCTGGTTTCTCAAATGTGAATCTTGATTAATTGTTGGATAGACACACTTTTGAACAAGAAGTTTAACTTCGTTGTAGTCAATTTTGTTTAGTAATATCTTGTTGGCAACATCACTATATTGGTTGTGAAGAACTTTGTCAAACTTGTTTTATATTTATGGTTATATGTCACTAATTTTTTTTTACCGTATATGCTAACAAGTAATTATAACCATTGTTTTATGTTAGAATTTTGTAAAAAAACATTTTGAAGATGACTAAACAGGCTCTTTTAAAAAAATTCAACTACCAGCTTTTCCCATTGAAATGCCACTAATGCTGGTGCACTACCAATCTGCAATTACTTCCTCAACTGCTATATACTCTCTTTTTATTTGTTTTTATTTTTTAAACACTGTACTTTATTGCGTGCTAGAATATTCCACATTTCTTGCCAGCCAACTAGTGCATGTAAAAAGGGTTACTTCGGTGGTCGGTATGTTCCTGACCTCAACTTAATTATCCCCCATTAATTATTCCTCTATAGCTTTATATAAGGCCTAGACACACAATTAGACTAAGCTGTTCATTAATTATTTTTCATTTATATACCTTAGAATTGCTAATTAACTGGGTTGGGCTCCATCTGATCCCTAAAAAACGGTCATAGTTAGAGTGGAATTTTGAATTTATGATTTAATTGTTCAAACTTGTAAATAGGCTTACAAATTTGGTATTAATGTTGCGTACTTAAAACTCTCCCTCTCGCTCAATTCAGTTCAACCCAGCTTAAATTTCACCTTGCTCTTGTCTTGCTTAGTTGGTCCCCCTACACACTATCATGCCAGCCAGTACTGGAGCCCATTTATTAGGATTTCAATATTCAACTACTAACCTTACTATCCAAACACCCTTTTATATATAAAACCATCCCAACCCTTTTCACATAAGAGAGAGGTCCTAAGTAGTGCCCACATAAGTCACTACCATGTCTAGTCCTACAGTTTTTTCAACCATCTTGTTTGTTGCCTTAGCAATGGTAGTACTCAGCGCAAATACACCACAAGCAGAGGCCGCTCGAGCCTTCTTCGTGTTCGGCGATTCGCTCGTCGACAATGGAAACAACAACTACTTACTGACCACTGCACGTGCAGACTCGCCACCCTATGGCATCGATTATCCCACTCACCGTCCCACCGGCCGCTTCTCCAATGGCTTAAACATTCCCGATATCATCAGTATAACTTCTCCATTTCACTTTCTTCTCTTCTGAATTCACTTTATATATGTGTGTGAGAGAGAAAGAGCTATACTACATGTACATAAATCATTCACAGAATTACTCGCAGACAAGACACAAGGGGCTAGGCCCAAAAGCGGGTTTCACACACATGTGGAGCCTTTCTTCTAGTGTCTTATTTGTGAACTATTTTGTCAGTAATTTATATACAAATATTGTTTTTGTTTTTTTATACTTTGTGTTTGTTGTAGATAGAACTTACCACGAATAATGTGTGTCATAAGGTGAACAACTCGGCTCTGAGTCCACATTGCCATACTTGAACCCAGAGCTCGACGGACAAAAATTACTTGTGGGTGCAAACTTTGCTTCTGCTGGAATCGGAATCCTCAATGACACCGGAGTTCAGTTTGTAAGTTGAACCAATTTACTTGTATATATATTCATTTCACTACAGCCATTTGTATATTTACAAAGCAATGATGTTACATTTATGATTTTTTTATGCAACATTTAAAGTACGCTTTATGTATCAAAACATTATTAGTTTTTAATTAATGATTCACTTGGTTTGAGAATAGGTCATTTTAATAATTTTTTAATTTTTTGACTAAAATATAAGGTGAAAAAAATTAATACGTTTGGAATATTTTTTAACTTTTTACGAAAAAAATGTACAAAAAAATGGAGAAAAAATAAATCTTTAACTTTTTTTTTTTTTTTGTATAATTTTTAACTTTATATACTTTTTGGCTATTGTAATATATTGCCAAACCAAGAGTAGTGGTTACACATGAGATAATAACATTACTCTTTAGCAAAAACATTGTAGAGAAGGTGAGAAAGTTCCGAATAAGTGGCTATATATGCACAGACTGCATGTCATCAACAATTTTATATCTTCCATTCATTGTTCAAACATGGAAATGGGTGTTTTGAACCGACAAAAAAGAACAATATGGATTGTCAATTTTCTGGTAACAGCTGCTTCTTTAATGAGACTGTTCTATATGTTTGACTTCTTCAATGAGTAATTATGTACAAACTAACAAATTCTATAGTTATTTATTTATTTATTAATTATTGTGATCTTTGTTATATACCATCATATTAGAATGCTCATCTTATAATGCGTCCTGTTTTTAAGGCTTTGTTTGATTGAACTCTCAAAACATAATTTTTGAAAAAAATTTCAAAATTTTGTTTGGTTAGAAAATTTTTGAAATTTTTTTCGAAAATCACTTTCTCTTTCCTACACATTAATCGATCACTTTTTCTCTCACATTTCTCCTTCTCAATCACTTTTTCTCTCACACACATCTATTCAACTACAACAAAATATCAAATCATTCCAAATTCTAAAACTCCAAAACTATTTTCAAAATATACAACTAAAAAAACTTCTAAACTTTCTTCCTAAATCTTTTTTTGAATATTTATCTCAAAATACAAACCAAACATACCCTAAATTTTCATAATGATGCATCACATCAGTAAATTTTTTTAAAAAAATGTAAAATTTTTTATATCCCATTTTCCTTTCCTTCATGCAATTTTCGATGTATTAAATTGGAAAATGATCTCTAAAAATATTTGTAGTGAATAATAAATTAGGGGTTGGTCAGCAGGGCCGGCCTGGCCTAAGGCCAGTAAGGCCTGGTCCTTAGGCCCCAAAATTTTGGCCTAAAAATAGGATTTTTAAATTTGGTCAAATATTATAGGCTTAATATTTTTTATTTTTTAGTTTTAGGATCAATTTAAAGGGTCCTAAAATATTTATTGGGTCCATGTATAGTTTAGCCCATACTTATTTATAAGTGTAGTTTTTTTGCTTATATTTATTAAAATGAAAATATATATAAAAAAAAAAATGTTTGGGCCCAAGAAAAACAATACATACAATATATGGGCCCTATTTTTTTTTTTAACCTTCTTTATCTATTAGATTTTAGTAGAGTAAATAATTTTGCCCAAATTTTTTTACCTAGGTCTTTATCAGTTTTAATTGAATAATTTTTTCCTTATTTTTTTGTCCTAATTTTGTTTCATTAAATTGTTTTGTTTAAAATTTTAATGATTATATGTGCAAATAAATTTTTTTGTAACTACAAATAAATAAAAAAATTATAACTTATCGTTTATTCATGAATTTTTTTTTTCAATATAAGAGAGCACCCATTTTCAAAGTTCGCCTTAGATCCCCTCAACCTCAGAGCCGGCCCTGTTGGTCAGTTGACACACATATCATTCAAAAATAGTTCCAATGGACATGTTAAATGCTTGGCTAAAATTGTTAAATGCTTTAACCTTTGCTAACTGTGACTGCCATTCACATCAGCCCACTAATTTTTATTTTTATTTTTTTTTTAGTATATAGTACTACCATTAAAAGGCATTTTCATTTGTTTTAAGGGATACACTCACACAGTGGCGGAGGGCGGAAGGACCAGGGGTCACGTGTCTCCAAGATTTTGGGATTTTTTTTCTTTTTTTTTGGGTGTAAATATAAAAAAATATATTTTAAATAAAAAATTATAAAAATATTATTAAAAAGAAATGTCAATCACATTTTAAAAATTATAAGAATAATAATAGTTGTTTTGATTGAAAATAAAGAGACTATTATAAACTATATATCTATCAAAATTTTATTAAAAATTTTAAATGTAACGGTAATGTCATTATTATTGACATGCAAGTAACGGTGATGCCATTATTATTTATCATTAATTAGTGATATCACATATTAATGATGACGTAATATTACTATTATATTGAATTTTTAATCAAATGTATAAAAAAATAATTTATCATTATATAATTTATTTTAAGATTTATATCTATATTTTTTTATATTGTCCATGATATATTAGTTATAAATAACATTAATTTTTTGATATTTCTCAAAATTAATTGTAAAAACTTGCGTGAAATATTTTTGTAAAATTTTTTGATATTATAATTAATAAGTGTCATTTCTAATTTAATTTTCTAACTCCGCCAATGCACTCACATCTTAGTCACATCAATCCGAACAAGTTTTTCTTTTTTCTTTTTTTTTGGTGGAACACTACTTTCTCTTATTAGCAATTTAAGCATGTAATGCCTCAAAGTTAAGGTCTCATAATATTGAATTTTTATACATAACAATGTGTGCAACCCAGAGTGGCGCAAGATGATTGTTTATTTAAAAAATAAATAATATCATTGACGCATCATTTTGATGAAATTTTCTACAATATTAGAGTTTTTCTCGAAATGTTTACACAATTTATTTATTTATTTATTTGGGGGAGGCAGGCAAACATCATAAGGATAGGCCAGCAATTAGAATTCTTCCAGCGCTATCAGGAACGGGTAAGCGCGCTCATTGGGCCAGCCGAAACCCAGCGGCTGGTGAATGGAGGGCTGGTTCTGATCGTGCTCGGAGGCAACGACTTCGTCAACAATTACTTCTTCACCCCATATTCTGCCAGAAGGCTCCAATACTCTCTTCCTGAGTTCTCCCGATATCTTATCTCTGAGTATCGAAAGATTCTAAAGGTAATTCTTTAGACGCGTAAGAGTATTAGCTTTATGATTTTCATAGTTTAAATAATGATATCAAAATAAATATTGATATGATCATATATTAGACAAGAATCGATTGAGATGTAGGAGTGTTTTAGGAAGATAGTTAAAAGTTATTTTTTGATTTTTTTTAATTTTTTGTAAAAGAGGAAAGTGAGTTAAAAAGTGGGAAGTGACTTTTAACCCACTTTCCTAAAACACCCCATATGGCATTAATAAATATTGATATCAGATTTTTAAAATTCTAGCACATATTGATCGAATTATTTGTGATTTAGAAAATATGATAAAAAAAAATAATAATTATATTTCATTTCATTAGTTTCGGAAGTGAAGTGGTGGGCATTCGTGCGCCGTTGATTTAGATGAGCCTTGTGGGCAAAAATGTGTCCCGTCTCTCATAACTGTTTGCATTAATTACTTGAATATTGATAGCGTGTTTTTTTTTTTAGATTCATAAAAAAATGGATATGTGGATAGGCTACTCCAACATATCCGTTATGGAGTATTCCCCCTTAGCACCTACAGCATATCTACAGAAAACCCCACCGCACCTACGTCGGGGCCGAAGCTTAGGCCCCACGTGCTCCAGGCGCTAAGGAATATGTTTAACCCCAACAAGGGGCTATGGAGACTCAAACCCAAGCCTTGAGCGAGGAATTCGAAGGTTTTATCCACTGAACTAACCCCTGTTGGTGATAGCGTATTTGAATTGTCAAGAGAAACAAAAATAAAATTAATTTATTCATTTTTTTTAGTGGCCAAAAATTATATGTATATATATATATATATATTTACCCATACCTATTCATTTTCTTCTAATTTATATATTATATATTATATAATTTATATAATATATTAAATTGAATTCGGGTTCGGGTTGCTCGGGTTGGCCATTGGTTCTGCCCAAGCCCGGCCCGAATTGCAATTCGGGCATCAAAAATCTGCCCAAGCCCGTCCAGATTACAAAATATAGTTGCCCAAGCCCTAAAAAAACTCGGGCTGGACTCGGGTTGCTCGGGTTGAGCCCGCCCGAGTTGCACCCCTAATATTTACCCATACCTATTCATTTTCTTCTAATTTTTCTAATCCAACCATACAAAAGAAAAGAGAGGAATTTGGCTTTTGTTAGCTTCATTTTTTTGTTTTTTTTTTTTTCTTTTCTTGTTTATCCTTCCTTGATAAATCTGACTTTGAAACATAGCATATATGTTTTTTTATGTTCCAAGTCCCAAATGAATCTAAAGTGCCAACACTTTAGATTTGTAAAAAAAATTAAACAAATAAACTTTACTTACAATTGAACAGAGGTTAGCACATACTAAGTGGATTCTAAAATTTAACACTAGTTTGAGGTTTTCTGACTAAAGGTGGTATACCTGTGTATTACAGAGGCTATATGAATTGGGAGCCCGAAGGGTAATGGTGACCGGAACTGGGCCACTGGGTTGTGTTCCGTCTTCTTTAGCCAGCAGAAGCACCAATGGGCAGTGCGCGGAGGAGCCCCAACGAGCTACTGAACTCTTCAACCCAGAACTCATCCAGATGATTCAATCCCTCAACCAAGAGCTCGGCTCTGATGTGTTCATAGCTGTTAATGCAATGCAAATGAGCACTGACTTCATCAGTAACCCCCAAGCCTTTGGTTCGTTCCCTAACCCTTAAAAAACATAATGGAAAGTGCATTTAAATGGGAAACAGCTCAAATTGCTAGTGAACTTGTATCCAATATAAGTGAAAGTTGTGACATGGGAACACAACTCTCACTTACTCCAACTCAATTCTTATCAAAGTGTAATTACTTTAAATTGTTCCCACTTGACTGCAATTTTTTTCAAATATATGTTTGCCAAACATAATGCTTTGTTGGTTGTAAATTTAACAGGTTTTGTAACATCGAAGGTGGCATGTTGTGGACAAGGACCATACAATGGGCTTGGAGTATGTACCCCTGCTTCCAACCTCTGTCCCGACCGGAATGTCTATGCCTTTTGGGATCCATTCCATCCAACAGAAAAGGCAAACAGAATCATAGTCCAACAGATGATGACTGGCTCCAACCGCTACATGAATCCCATGAACCTAAGCACTATCATGGCCATGGACTCCATGAATTGACTCATCATCTACTATTTTAAGCTATATATATATCTATACATTATATGCTTTTGAGTAGTCATTTTGATTATGCACTGTTTGTATTGGATGAAATGTACTTAGCCCTCGTTTGGTTTTCTCATTAGAGCTAAAAAAGCACAAAAAAAAAACAAAATAAGCTATATAAGTCAATAAAACAAAATACTACTTTTTATTCATAATCATTACATTTTTTCTCTCACAAAAGTCAAAAAAATCCCTAAACAAAAACCAAACGAGGCTAAAAATGTCGCAATACAAAAAAGTTAGCTGTATTAGCCAATGCTAAACGACTCCTTAGTTTTGTTGGTCCTTGATGAAATATGAAACCAATGAATTTAGCAGGTTGCTTGGCTTATTAGAGAAGATGTGTATAGGCTAGTATATATATATATTGGTTTAATAAGTTTAAGAATACAAAATCAACCGTAGAAGTAGCTTAAATGTACTTAGCCCCCGTTTGGTTTTCTCATTAGAGCTAAAAAAACACAAAAAAAAAAAAACAAAATAAGCTATATAAGTTAATAAAACAAAATATTACTTTTTATCCATAATCATTACATTTTTTCTTTCACAAAAGTCAAAAAAGTCCCAAAATAAAAACCAAACGAAGCTAAAAAAGTCTCAATACAAAAAAGTTGGCTATATTAGCTAATGCTAAACGACTCCTTAGTTTTGTTGGTCCTTGATGAAATATGAAACCAATGAATTAAATTTAGCAGGTTGCTTGGCTTATTAGAGAATATGACCTCGTTTGGGAACAGACTAATTTAGTAACTTTTTGGCTATTTGGCTAAAAAGGTAGGTAAAAAAAACTTGTATGTTTGGGATGACTTTTTGACTAATTACGAAAAGATGTGCAAAAAATAGAGAGAAAAGAGAATCTTTGACTTTTTTGTATGAGTTGTTGACTTTTTGGCTAATTTAGTAACTTTTTGACTAATTGACTAAAAAAGTAAGTCCCCAAACGGGACCATGTGTGTAGGCTAGTATATATATATTGGTTTAATAAGTTTAAGAATACAAAATCAACCGTAGAAGTAGCTTTTGGTACATATTCACTTTCAATTGGCGAAGAATGAGAAAGCACATTCACGGTGCTCTATGTGTATAATTTAAATTTTATAGATTTTTTTATTTTTAATTATCACCAAAACAATGGAGAGGACACTTATTTTATTTTTTTTAACAGTAGACAACGGTTTTTTTTTTTTTACAGTAGACATGTGAACATCATATCTAAATTCAACTCAATAAATTTATTCATACTAAAGAATTATATAAAAGACCAAACTAATTTAGTTCATCTCATAATAGTTTAATTGAAACTCTTGAATAATTGAAGTTTAAACATATCTTAAAAGATGGTTACATTTTCAAATAAAATTTAAACAACTCCTTACTCGGCTTGTGTTATAATTAGTGACCTCCACCTAATAAAAAAGATGGGTGATGTTGGATTCTCTTTCACTAAATATTAAATATAAATTTGTTACAGAAGTTCATTTAAATTATATGTTAATTTTTTATTATTCTTAAACCACGCATAAAATTTACAAATGATATCATTATATTTATAAACAATTTATACATAAAACTCATATTTTTAAATGTTTGCAGACATGTACAAATTTTTGTATGTAAAAAGCACTATAGAGGCACTTCTCCTCGCAAATATGAAAATAATTTGACAAAAAACTTTTTTTAAAATTAATTTTTGAATACTTTGTAGTTAGCTTTAAAGAATTTTCAAAAACAGAGAAAGACCTAACTACAAAATGGGTCACACATGAGAATAATGTTTAAGACCCAATCTTGCCCGATCATTATCGTGTATTTAGTGTCTATATAAAAATGCATTTGTGAGGGAAAATGCATCGGTCAAAATTTAAACTTAAGATATAATGAGTAAATCTATGTATCTATACTATTATAAAGTGAACATCTTTTAGGTGTCTTGAAACCTTTATTTCTTATGCTGTCATGTGTCTACTTTTTTATTTGAAATAAAAAAAAAAAAATTAGATAGATGAGATGAGGGGATTTGAACCTTAGACTTATGTCAAATGAGTAAGACTTTTACCACTTAACTAGCACACAATATATAATAAATGTTTTATTTTGTTTTATTTATTTAAATTACACACGCATCGCGTGTGGCAACCGCTAGTAATGAGTAAATGACAAGTATTTGTGCCTAATCAATTAAAAAAAACTATCCACTATGTTTGTTTCAATTTTATGAAGATTTAATTTTTAATTTTTAATTTTTTGTTTTTGTTTTTAGTGAATAATTTTAAAAATTTTTACTTTTTTAGATGCACCTTATTTAGATGTATCTAAAAAAAAATTTAAAATCTATAAATATGTAAAAATATGAAAAATGTACTAAATTCTCATATATTTTTATATTTTTGGTATTTAGTGAATTTTTTTAAGATTTCCTTCACAAATATTATACTTTTTAAGTGTATTTATGGTGTATCTAAAAATTTTAAAAATTACTTAGAATATTAAAAAAAATTCAATAGAAACAAAAAAACACAAAAAAATTGAATTTTCTGAAAAGTGAATTTTGAAAATCCAAACCTAATAAGTTGATTAATATTTAATTTTTAAAATTTTATTTTCTATTTAATATATAACTTTATTAACCTAATTTAAGAATAAGCAATTATTTTAAAATCGGGCCTGGACAAAAATTTTAAGTCCAATATCAAACTAGGTCGGTTTATGCATGGGCCTTTCTGTATTTCTAGCCCATATTGTGCCGGCCCAACAGTAAAATATAGGGTAGGGTTTGGTAAAGTTTAGAATTATGATTTAGGCCAAGTTTGGGGACTTTAAAAAAAGTCAAAAAGTTAAAAAGTTACTCAAAAAGTTAAAAAGTTAACACTATTCATCAAAAGTCGAAGAGGTGAAGTGTTCCTTGCCGCATGGCAAGTCACACGATGAAGACGGAACGTCAAAACCATTTATGAGTGAATGGGAAATTGACATCGTTTTCAGGTTTAACATTAATTTTTAGACAAAATTCATTTGAATTTTTTCAATAAAAATTATTGTGGGAATTTAATTTAAATCTAAATTCAAATTTTTGGATTCCTTAAATGGTTTCCTAAAGTTTGTCAAATAAGATTAATATTTATATTCCAAACAGGTTTTATTAAAATCTATTATACTATTAGATTTATTTGTTTAATCTAAATCTAATAGTTTAATATAATTATTTCTAACAGTGAAGGTTGTTGATTTGATTAAACTATGCAAATAGTTTAATAAAATTTATTCCAAACAGTGTAGTAGAACTTTGTCCTCTAACGGCTTTTTGTTTTTCAAATTGGTTGGAAGGAAGTTCTATTCCATGTGCAACGGCAAAAACTGTTGGAAGGGAGTTCTATTCCATGTGCAACGGCTAAAACTGTTTGAATAAGTTGGCACCTGTTCATTTGAAATCTTTTATGTTCTTTCAAAATTGGAACCTTTTCAAACAGTAATATTTGCCTATAAATACTACATTCCAGCAATGGTTTAGGCCCCGGGAAAAATTCAGTCTATTTGTGGTCTTTTTGCTGTCCAAAAATACTGCATTTGTTTTTATTCTTCATATTAGTTTTAGTATAATATTCAGAGAGTTAGAACACAGGTTTGGTTCGCCGAACAAATTGTTTGGAGTACTACTACAATTTGTGAAGATCATTGTATCCTGGGAGATAGACGCCACTCAACCGTAAGTACCGTAGCGGGGCGAATCTGTTTTAAGGACAGAGTGTCACACACTCGACTTGGTCTTAATTAATTCGGTTCGATAAATAAATCCGATATGTTATTTATTTATTTTGTTTGCATTTATTTCAATTTATTTATTTACACAGAAGATTGTTCCAACAGAGGGGGACTGTAGGGGGCCTAAAAAATGGGCTGGAGGCGGAGGCGGGGGGCGCGGCGATTGGCGATGGCAGAGGCGACAAGCAAAGGCATGGCGATCGGCGACGGAGGCGGAGGCGCGGCGATCGGCGACGGATCGGAGACGGCGGCGACCCCTCTCCCTCTCCCTCTCCCTCTTTCTCTCCCTCTCCCTCTCTCTCTTCCTCCGCTTCCTCTGCGTCGAAAATGGCAGAAAAAAAAAAAAAAAAAAAAAAAAAAAAAAAGCCTAATGCCCAAAACGACGTCGTTTTGGGCATTAGGAGGATTAGGGGAGCTCATTTTCGAGCTCTCAAGCATTATTCATTTAAGAATACGCCATTATTTTAAAATCGGGCTTGGACAAAAATTTTAAGTCCAATATCAAACTAGGTCGGTTTATGCATGGGCCTTTCTGTATTTTCTAGCCCAGATTATGCCGGCCCAACAGTAAAACATATGGCAGCGTTTGGTAAAGTTTAGAATTATGATTTAATAATAGAGTTGTATTTTGAATTTGTGAGTTTTAAAATTATAATTTGAAAAGAAAAAAAATTGTTTGGTTATAAATTTTGAAAAGAGTTTTCACAATTTAATTGAAAAACTTATAACTCATAACCATACACACAATTCAAAACTCTATTCAAAATTCTATTCAAAACTCATAATTAAACTCTTTTTAAAATTCAATTCAAAAAAAAAATTTGTCATTTTGGTCTAAAAAATAATTTTTATATTTGAAAAATATCAAAAACAAATACTTTTATAATTTTTTTTCTTCCAAATAACAGGTGGTGATTAGTAATTGCAAAAAAAAGTACTGTTTCAAACCACCGGCCAGATATTCGAGAGGATGTCCAAGCAGAGGCCCAGGCAGACAAAAAATTTAAAAACTATCTAGTTTACCAAACATGTTTTCAAAATATATTTTGAAATTGATTTGGAATCATGATTGGAAAACTTAAATCAAACATAACATTAAAATGTAATGGTGAAATTAGTTTTAGAAAATTAAACCAAACACAGTTTAAGATTTCGTGATCTTACGAAACTACGTCATATCGGTTGATCTGCGCAAATCAACCTATTTTTCATGAGTTATTTATGATGATCTAAACATTTTGACTTTTTATAAATAAATAAATAAAATTGTGCAATATGAAAGAGTAGTGGATAAAATGATAAAAAAGTGATATAAATAGATTGGAAAATGTTAAGGTTCCGTTTGGAATGTGAGTTGATTTTTTAATTATTTTAATTTAGGGTTAAAAATTTTTATTTGGAATAAATTTTTTATTTTAAACTTTTATAATAAAAAAAATTATAATTTAAATATAACATTTTATCTTATTAGATTATAAATTTTATTTTATCTTTTTATAATTATTTTAATAAAAAAAAACTCCATTTAATTTATGCCAAACGATGGTATAACCTAT